CCCCCAGACATACATACATACCTCTAATTTTCTAGGTATGTCTGTTTCCCCAGACATACATACATACCTTTTACATACATACTTACCTCTAATTTTCTAGGTATGTATGTTTCCCCAGACATACATACATACCAATAACAGACATACATACCTGCATGTATGTTACCCCCCTGGGGTTCGCAGACATACATACCTGTCATTTTCTAGCGATGTATGTTTCCCCACACATACATACATTACGTCATACACACGTCTACTAACCACGCGTCATACACACGTCCGCTTTTCTAGGTGTGTCTGTGTCGTCACGAACATGCAGCAGCGGTGAGGGGTGTCACTCATAAATCGCGGGAGGGGGGGTGCGGGGGAGGGCGCAGCGCCTACCCCGCGGGGCGAGCGAAGCGAGCCTCTTCGCGCGTCGACGACTGTGCAACGTATGTCTGGTAACCTATTATGATTTTTGCCTCGAATGATGCGACGCCTCGGTCTGGGCAGGGCCGGGTATGTTTCCCCAGACATACATACATACCATACATACCTATCATTTTCTAGGTATGTATGTTTCCCCAGACATACATACATACCAATAACAGACATACATGCCTGTCATTTTCTAGTGATGTCTGTTTCCCCACACATACATACATTACGTCATACACACGTCTAATATCCATGCGCCAAAGGGCATGAGACTTACATCCATTCATACAGACATACTTCAATGCCCCCTCCATGGTCACGGGCCCTCACAGACATTCACGCATGCATGCATACATACATACATACGTACATACATACATACCTAGAGGAGCATGCTTCATTGTGTGAGACAGTCCACGTTCATGTATACGCGCATCCCGAGAATGCCACATATCTCTTTCTCCTTATACTGCCTTCAAGGTCAAGGGCATGATTGTTGCAGGGAAAATACATACTTGAAGGTAATCTCTGTTTGGCCGACATACCTCCTCGGTGTGTGTGTTTCTGAGAACGGATATACAGTAAGCAACTAACGGTCTGTACCTGCGTGGGAAACATACATACCGGAATATTGTGGGTAGGTATGTTTCTGCGAACCATACATATTTCTGTATGTTTCTCAGACCACGTACATACCTCCAAGTCCTAGGTATATATGTTTGTGGGACACAGACATACCTGGATAATAATGAGTATGTATGTTTGTGGGAAACATGCATAACGAGACACTCATGCGTATGTATCTTCCTGGGAAACATACATACCTCAAACTGGGAGCCCTGCGAAACACACAGACCTCGCTTTTTGCCTGATGCTATGTCTCCGAGGAACACTCATACCCGTGCTTTTGAGGTCTGTACGTTCGGACAACACATACATACATACATACATGCCTCTGCTTTTCTAGGTGTATACCTTTCCCCAGACATCCATACATACCAGACATACCTCTAATTTTCTAGGTATGTATGTTTCCCCGGACATACATACATACTGGGAATGTACGACTCTTCTGTGTATCCGAGAAACATACATACCCGTGCTTTTGAGGTATGTACGTTTGGACCATGCATACATACATACATCCCTCTTCCTTTCTAGGTATGTCCCCAAACATACATACATACCATACATACCTCTATTTTTCTAGGTATGTATGTTTCCCCGGACATACATACATACATACTGGGTATGCTTTGAAGGTATGTACCTTTGGACCATGCATACATACATACATACATTCATACCTCTTCTTGTCTCGGTATGTATGTTTCCCCAAACATACATACATACCATACATACCTCTCATTTTCTAGGTATGTATGTTCCCCAGAAACATACATACCCCTGATTTTGAGGTATGTACCTTTGGACCATACATACATACATACCTAGATGGGGGGGGAGGCAGGGGATGCCTGCTAGATACCTACTAACCTCCGAATACAAGGTATGTATGTTACCCCCCTGGGGTTCTTACTCAAAAGTATTGTTATATATGTATATTTATAAATCACAATATATCCATTACTATGCACTACAATATCGTATGTTAGTCATTGAGAAGCCATATTTCCCCTAAGGAGCCTACATCATTTTTTCTGAGACAAAACCGGATGAATGGAACCAAAGCGTTCCTCTCCGGGGGGGTTGGTGAGTGTAACAAGGTTAACATTAGTTTACACATCCTTCGGGCAAGAAATGCACGTCTCGCGTCCTGCGTGTGTTCCGCAGGGAGAGGAATGCAACAGCCCCAGAGAGTCGACGATGGAGGAGGCTTCGTTGCACTTCGTTGGCGTCGCGTCCTTGGTCAATTTGTAGGGATTCTTGAATTTGAACATGGGCGAAATGGGTAGACTCCGGGTACACCAACAAAATTACAAGATCAATTGAGCCGTGCTAAGAACCTCCCTGTTCATGTTTAGTAGTGGGCTTGTCATATGAATCCTTCGCGTAAGCAAAACTCTGATGTGCGTAAGGTTGCGTAAGCGTTTTTTGTGAGATGAAACTTGCGTAAGCCGCGTAAGCAAGTCGAAATTTAACATACATTGCGCATGTATTCTTGAAATGTTTGGAAATTCCATGGAGACCTTTGTTGATGAAGCCTTGCATTGGATCTTTTTCTTGGCACTTGGTATGGTCGAAGGTGATTGGCTCCACAGAAAGAAGGGTTCTTGGGGTTCCTGTAGTCATTTATATACAGGACATAGGCATCAGGACAGAGATTTTATGGGTCGACACATGCAAACATTACTCCTATAGCCATACAAACAACTCCCATAGCCATCAAGTCTACCAGCAGTTGTCAGACACACTATGTCACCATGCAGTTATCGGTTTTGGTGTCGGTAATACGGGTAAGGCGCGCGTAAGCTTCGCGTAAGCTGCGCGTAAGCCCCCCTCTCTTTTGTAGACTGTGGCCCACGATGCCTCCTAAAAAGCAGGCTTTTTCTGACTTGCAATCGCGCCAAAGGCAACGCATTGTCCAGACCATCTACGAAATCCTGGCTGCTCACTGCCCTACAGCCGCGGACGTAACAAACCTGTTGTGTGCTGTGCTTTGCTTGGAAAACAGATGGCGCGTAAGCTGGCGCTGTGGCCGGGTGCAAGATTGTGTTCGCGTAAGTGTTGCGTAAGCCCCTTTGTGTGCAAAGTGTGCGCGTAAGCTGCCATTGTGGTGGCGTAAGCCAGGCGTAAGCTGCTGCGTAAGGAAAGTCTTACGACATAGGCAGATGCCACACGTTTTGAGCACAGCTCAATTGTGGATTTGGTGAACGAATACTCTTGAAAACAAATGGTACTGGGGGATAGACTTGTTTGTCGCATCAACTTACTGTATGTAAAGTGGCATCGCGACCGCAAGGCTTTGGGAGATAGGATCAAAAGCACTTCACCAAAACAAGTCATGACTCTGTTTTAGCTTGGGTGCTCGCATTTTGCCTGCCAGCCAAGAAAAAAAAACAGTACAGGTATCTCGCAGGTCTGATTCGTGTCAGCCTGCTACTAATGGAGATGCATGATGAACCAAGATGACATTTGGTTTCATGAGAGGTGAACCAGTAACCTGCCATTGAGTTGTTTATTTGGCTCACTTCTCTTTTGTTAAGTGCTCGGGCAATGGTCGAAGACAAAATCTGCGACAGGGCTTGCGTGAAAAGCCAGCCTGCAAGAGATGGTGCAGACAGAGACATATTTCAGGAATCTTGTTGACAAAGACTCTGGTTCCACAGTGCACAGCAACAATCCCACTGGAACCAAAGAAGTGCTTCCTTGCAAAGTGATTTGCTGACTGGAATGAGAAAGAGAAAGCAGAGATCTCCTGATGAAGTTGCCAATGCCCCGGTCAAAAAGTCAGCAGTGCCATTTGACCCTCCACTGCTGTCATCGTTTACCCCTGTACAAGCCTACAGATTCCGACAAGCTGGAGTCAGCTTGGGAGCAGCGTTTTTGTAGTTCTGCTTCTCTCTTTCCTGTTCCCCAGTTCCTGCTCCCGTTTTTGCTGCCCAGCTTCCCTATGAAGTCTTCCAAAAGAAAAACACCATTTGGAGTTCACTCCACGGGGTCGTTAGTGCGTTGAGCTCCAAAGCGAGCGCCAGACCTGCCAGGCGCAGATCGCGGTGGGCCAGGGCTTTCTGAAACTCCCCGCCGTGAGTGCCAACCGTCCGTCTGGACGCCCGGGGCGAAGCGCGGTCGGCCTAGTCGGTCGGTCCAACTCCGGCTCGGTCGCGCGAGAAACAAACGAGGAACTACATATAGAAAGTTCATAATGATGACATGAGGGGGAGGAGGTGGTGGTGGTGGAGGTGGGGTAAGTGGAGATAAATGGAGGAAGTGATAGGAAGTGTTATATAAGACATGAAGGTGGCGGAACTGTTTTGGGGGTGGATTTGGGTTCTTGGCAGCCTGTTGGTTGGCAAATGGGGCAAGTGAAATTTGACCGAAAAGCAATGGGAAACAATCGCCATTTGTCGGTCAAAGGTATCCACCTTTGCACTGCAGCCAAAGTTTCTTTACACAGGAGGTGTTTTCTGCGTCCATTTCCCTCCATGTTTCACTCAGCCTCCTATAGATGCATCTATTCCATGCAGTTGGTGATGTAGCAGTGATAAACAGGAAACATATACCAAGACCATCCAATGGGTGTCCAATGGGCTACACTACTTAAGGATCTTTGTGGGACACCCATTAGATTGGCTTGGTTTTCGTTCCAACTGCCTCCTGAGGAGGTGGTTGGGGTGGGTTCTGGGGGTCTAACCACCTTCTGAGGACATGGTTGGAGCCCCTAGGATTGACATCGCCCCTGCGGATTCGCGCAGTGCTCCGGCGACTGGAGGCACCACGAGCAGCTCGTTCTGGAGACGCCTTTGGGGCAATCTGTCCAGGCAACCACTGGGCTATGGGATTTGGGCCGTGAATGGCCTGGGTCTTGTTTCGGTGACCATTTCAGACCCAGAACTTCTTGGCTGTTCAACAAGCCAGAAAGGTCACTTTATGATACATGTCACTATTTAATTCAAGATTTGCTATACAGACTGCCTGTTCATGTGGGACGTCTTTGAAATCCTCACTGGCCAAAGCAGGAAAGCTTGCGCTTGCTCGACCAAGCCATCTCCTTGGAATCCGACCCAACAAAGTTTACTGTAGCTATAGTTGATCTCCTTGAGGAGCTTGAGGTATGTTCAATCAACTTGTCCAATCTTCTTGAAGTAAAGAGTGTGTAAGCCGAATTCCCACAAGGCTGATATGCCCCCAAAAACAATCTTGTAACTTCATTCCAAACCCAAAAATGCACCCAACTCGACACGCCGCAGATGCCTCCAACACCCAACCCAAGCCTCCTCGACTCCTGCGCTTCGAAGTTTGGCTTCAAACTGAGTCCACCGCCGAGAATCACTTTGTTCCAGAAGTTCCATGCTGGCATGATTGTTGTATGCATCCAGGGGCCTTGTTCATCTTCGAGCCAGAGCCGTCCTGAACTTCCTAAATGAACCCCTTTTTCTTGGAACTGCTGGATCTTCAACCTCCACACCACCCGGACCCTCAACCAAAAACTCCTTCAAAAACCATCCCTGAAGCTTCTTCAGGTGAGCTTGGAGTTGACCCGTGACAGCCAGGAGCTCGGACCAACTCACGGGTGGTGGTGGTGGTGGTGGTGGTGGCGGCGGCGGCTTTTAGGGCAATATATCATGGTATATCATCCGACCTCACAGAAAAGGAGTGGCGTGATGTCTTAAGAGGTCTTGTAAGATTTTTTGTGTTTGGGGTCGTGTTCAAGAGTTTCTCTCGTTGTCAATTGTCTTGGAATGTCTTGGATGTTGAGAAACAAATCTACCGTATTTGGGAGCAAAGTACAGTGATCTTTTGGTTCTTGTTTATCACCCTCTTACCGAACAATCACGCTTTCCCACCGGGAACCAAGCGCACTGCGTTCTTCTTCGAAGCTGCGGGGCTCGCGGTCTCATTCAGTGACTGCATGGTGAGACAACGGCGGAACCCCGACTTTCCCTATCCTCTGTTCGGTTCGACACCCAACCTCCCAAACTCCTGGAGCATGGCTTGATTTTCAATGACGAGTGAAAAGAGTCTGAAACCTTTCAGCGGTTTTTGATTGGTGGTGTGGCCTTGATAAAGCGCCCAGCATCCCTTTGCCCTTCATCTCGGTGCAATGGCATCTCGGTGCCAGAACAGCCGAACCGAAATTGCGACCCAACACGAAGCCATTGGCCACGACTTCCCCCCGGCCACGTATTATACGACCCGAAGCCGGGAAGAAACGTGACTGAAGAGAAAAACCAAAGCAAACCAACGGACATAGCACGAAGAGAAAAACGCGACAAGCAGGTTGCGTCCTCTTCGTGCCCTTCATTCTTGAGAACTTAACTCCTCTGACGCTGTGCGTGGACCGAGGCTGGGGGGGATGGGTCGGGGGCGGCCGGTGCAAGATCGACGTAACTCGCCGACGTTGTCGGGGTCACCTGGCTGGTTTCGCCCCAGCCCACCACTAAGGGACCTCTAGACAGGACACCCCTTGAAGGTCCAGGTCAAGGCATTTGGATCCATTTCTCCAGATCAAGGGACTTTTAAGCCAAGCTCTTCCAGGCCAAGTGGAGGGTGAAGACACTTATGGAGTTGTTTTTCTCCTTTCATCGAGCATCACGCTGATCCCATTCACTTGTGCTTGGCTTGTTGTAGGGAACAACAGGGTGAGTTGTAGAACAGACCAATGTATGGCATCAGTTGCTCATGACAGCCATGCAATTTCTTGGCACTCAAAGGGGAGAAACGTTTGGTGGGTGACAGCCCTGGTTTTGCTTTGGGTCATGTGTGTTTTCCCTACTCCAACAAGCTGTTTGGAGGTCGCCGACCACTGGTGGTTTCTGGGCACCGGAACTTGTCACCAGGAAGCACCTGGCCCGGTCGGGTGCTTCCCTATATGAGTCTCATCCTGTTCTGTGGAATCTGTTCATGTTTTTGGTTCCCTGGACAGTTCGGCGTTCCAAGCAGTGTTGGACGGGTGAAGCGACGGGTGGGAAGACATGGAAGACAAGGACGACCTTTTGGCCCTTGGGTGTGTTATTGTAAGGGCTCCGCCCGGGTGCCGCCGACCCCTTTTCATCTCGAGGGTTTGCCGGTTGAACCTTGACAACTTCCTGGGATTCAACAGCGAGACTTGGATGGGCTTCACACCAATGCTGGCATTCAACCAGCTGCCGAGAAGAGGGCAAGGCTGCGGTGAGGCTCTGGGGAGCGTTTGAAGCCGAGCCAAAATGCCTAACGTTGCCTTCGGAAGCCCATAAGAAGAGAGGCCGCAAGAGGCCTGCCGGCTGCCGAGAGGCTTTTGAAGCCGGTCCAAAATGCCTCACGTTGCCTTCGGAAGCCCATAAGAAGAGAGGAGGCAGGCTTCGGACAGGCCACAGAGAGGCCGCAAGAGGCCTGCCGGCTGCCGAGAAGCTTCGGACAGGCCACAGAGAGGCCGCAAGAGGCCGAAAAGCTTTTGAAGGCGGTCCAAAATGCCTAAACGTCGCCTTCGGAAGCCCATAAGAAGAGAGGAGGCAGGCTTCGGACAGGCCACAGAGAGGCCGCAACAGGCCGGCCAGCTGGTGAGGCCTCGGACAGGCCTTTGGAAGTGCTTGGAAGGGTTCTGCTAGGCTTGGCCAACTGCTGCATCCTACGCCTTTGGAAGTGCTTGAAGGGTTCTGCTAGGCTTGGCCAACTGCTTCACCCTGCGGTGTCCCAGGCGCCTCCCCGCCCAGGCTTTGGCTATAGGCCGGGGTCGGCGGATATTATAGCTCTGCATGGTCAGAAATAAAAGAATTAAAGAAACCAAGAAAAAAACACACGGAAAAACCATGCAGTGCCACTCCAAACCACACCCATCTTTCTGAAGGCTTCAGCTCAGAAGGTTGCAGTTCGGAGTTGGCGCCGGTGCCGCTTTTCACATGCAAGGCATCCATGGCGGCCTCCAAAACTCATCCCAACTCCATCCCAGACACTCCAGGTATGGAATACATACCTGACCCCTTTTCAACCACCCCGATGTATGTAAATATGCCATATACCAAGATTCACATCTCGGGGTGGTTTCTGTTCCCATCCAGTGAGTGGATGTCCGAACGGGACTGAATCGAGTCGGTGGGGGTTGCCCCAAGCTGATGGCCACAGTAAAAGACCTGTAATGGCCGTTGGTCCTCACGGTTTTTTGAGGGACAGCCTTGTCGTGTTTGTTCACCTTTTCTACTAATTCTCTCGGGGATGGGGGCAAGTATGGACACTAGAAGTGGATCCCTGAGTGATCACTTCTATAAAGTTAGGTTCACCAGCTTTCATCAATCCACCCCTGTGAATCCACTGCTTTGCACGGAAAGCCGGGCTGATCCAGGGTCACCCACGTAGAAAATGTATGGGAAACCGCGCCACGTGAAGAATCACTATAGCATGTGTCATCCACCTCATGCTATCCAGTGGTTCATCCCTGACATGGAATGACATCATGCTATAGCATGGATAGCGTGGAATGGCGTCGTTTTCTTATCATCTGACCCTTCGATGCACAGATGACCCTTCGATGCTGCTGAAGCCGGGCTGCCGAGCCGTTCTGCCCACAGGCGCGCAGCCGCTTGGGGCTTGGGCGGTGCCGGGTGGTTTTGTTCGGTTTACGTAGTGAAACAACAACGCTTCCTTGAAGACTTGCGGCTCAAATCTATACTGCTATTGTGTATATAGCCGATATATAGCTAATATACTTTTATATATATAGTGCTTATACATGATTACGCTTTAACACATGTTGTTTTTGTTATTTGATTTGAGCTAAGAGTTGTGAGGGAGTATTATCACACGCACCACCCTTCTACAGGCGAGCCAGTTCATCTACAATGAACTAGTTGCCAAAGCGATCCTTCTGGACATTTCTTGAAAGCAACCTCCAGTCTCGTTGAATTGGGCCAAGAGAAATTGCATGCTGTGGCTCCTGTCATGGTGACTTTTTCGGTTTGGACCACGAGAAATGGCATGGTGTGGGATGATGGTCTTTGGTCGGCCAGTAACGCGCAGTCAATATCGCAAGCTCTGCAAGGCAGCGCCCACTACAGCTGTAGAGGAAGCGCTTCCGAAGCATTGATCTCCGATCAACCGAAATCCGATGGGGTTGGAGTGAACTCGTCCACCCACTCCTCCAAGATCCAGAGACACACCGCAATCAAGATTTGCTCCTAATGTGGAAGATATCAGATGAGAGAATTAACTTATTCAGGTAAGTTTTTTAGTCTCTGAGACATGCTTTCGCTGCAGGTGCCTCACCCAAAGACTGTAACCACCCCAATGTAGGTAAATGTGCAATACATGGAGAGTGTTTGGGAACTATACAGGCGTCTCATCCCTTCCATAGGGTTGAAGCGGCTTCGTTACTGACATTTGAACAGGGTCGAAGCGAAGGTGGTTGAATGGGGGGGTCGATTGTTTAGATCCCTTGGTTTTTTGGCCGCCTGAATGAGAAAAAACAGCACCATTGCTAAGGCTAAGGATTGTACACGACAACCAGGTCTTAATTACTAATCTGTAACGTTATTGAATGGCAGGCGAGCAGGCATACACGTGCCCTGTTTGGGTAGACCAGCCAGGATCACCCGGACAGGAGGATCTTGGTAGGAAACCTGGATTCTGGTTGTCCCTTCAAACGATTGATCGTTGAATGGATTTGAGTGATCGTTGAACCTGCAAAACATATCCCAGACGCGACAAATGGGACTGACATATTTATCTACCCTCATCCCTTTTCAACCACCCCAAGGTTTATAGCAAGTATTGCATGTGCATGGAGTGAGTGGGTATGCTGCATTCACCGCAGCATACCTGTCCCTTACGAGCTCGGCGGGCTCACCGGACTGCTGGACTGCCGACGGCCTCCCCGAACGGTGCAGATCCACAGCGCCCGGACACCGCGTTCTTTTCCATCGTTTCGGCCAAAGAGGCTCAGGTGCGGTGGGCGAGACAAGGAGTTTCACTGGATGGGTTTGTTGTTTTTTCGGTTTGTTTGGAACCGTTCCATGATGTCCGTTTTGAGTTGTTCAGCTTGGGAGATGGTCATGTTGAAATCATTTTCTTTATAGGGACAGGAATCATAGAGATGGGCTGCGGGTGCTCCACTTTGCCTTGTCCCATGATTCAAAGGGGAATTGAATCAAGAAGTGATAACTTTACCCTGGGAGTCCAAGACTATGTCCAAAATGGTAGTTGACCTGGTGTTGTAGCGTAGTATGTAAAATCCTTCGCAAAACAATGGTTGTTTGGGTAAAAACATGTAAAAACTATGTTTCGTTGGTGGTTGGAATCCTAGGGCTTCTACAGCTCCCATCGACCTTGCACCAAAATATATACAGCTCCTCAGTTGGTCAAGGACAGTTGGCTTTGGGATGGTGTTCATCGGTTCAGATCGAATGTCACAACCGAGAGCCATGTTGTATGCCATGCATGGCCACGGCAGACTTGTTTGTGTTCTTTCCCACACACCTGTCACCTGTGGTTGAATAAGTGTTATAGTTATATCCACCTCGATCACTCTCAAAGAACACAGGAGATTTCCGGATGATGTCAGACGCAGGTTTCGCACCATAGGCCTAACCGAGGATTTCTCTGGGTTGCTTTCGGGGGGGGTGTTTTTGTGTGGGCGGTTCCAGACGTGGAGTGTTTGGGTGGAAGTGATTCAGGCCAAGGGATCACCCAATTCCACCTTCAACTCCGCTCAGCTGACAACAAGATCCGAAACGCTCCGCGGTCGGCGAGCGGTTTTTCGAACACCTCCGACACCCCGGGTGCGGGCCGCAGGAACGCCGAGCTGGGTTTAGCCCAGGAAAGCTGACTCCATCGAGGCGAGGGTGTTTCGTTGGAGGTGTGAAGATGGACATCATTGTTCGAAAATCCTGATCAGAGGAGATGCCCGAATAGGCCCTATTTCATCCGAGATTCAATCCTTTTCAACCTCATATATAAGAAATCTATATTGTTTAATCGTTTGTTTGCATTTCTAGGTCGAAGCCTTGCGAAGCAGCAGAAAGCCAACGGAGCCGCTCTTTCCGGTCCAGCCAGATGTTGAGGTTGAGCCGCCCAGCTTTCGATTCGATCTCCGAAGGACATGGCTCAACACATGCCTCCCGAAGGCTTCGGTATGAAACATACTACCCATGCACGAGTCAAGGGGCCCGACCTTGTGAAATCGCATTGCATTGTGCCCAGTGGTGGCGCCCAGTGGTGAACGTATGTGGTCCAACTTTGGAATGCACTGGGAATCCTCATGGGAAATGGAGCATGGCCCCTTCCAATTCTCGAAACCGGTGGTCGCTTCACTTCCACGATGTTTCCGAGTGTACTTCACCGGGCGGTTGAACTAGCCCTGGAAGTCCAAGACAAAACGGTGGACCTGGTCTTGTGTAAAGTTCTTGGTAAAACGGTGGTTCGGTCAACCAGCCCGGGGCCTCCACTGCCATGTAGAATAGTACCCATGGGACTGGCATATTTATACATACATTGACCGCTGAAACTCCCATGGGGTTTGAAGCGATTGACGTGGACGGACAAGTGCAATCTCCATCAGGAAAAAGCGGACCTTGACCAGCCAGTTGGACGGTCCGTGAGGAACCCTGTTTGGCATTTTGAACAGGTGATCAGAAGGTTTCAGTCAGATGCCACATACAACCCAAACGAAAGAATTGAAACGGGAACAGCTATGGGAACACAGTCCCACACATTCACGTGAACTTTCACCTCATGGGTGCATCTTTGGACCCCTTCACTCTTGATGAACAACCCGCCCAGTCCTGAAGAGCATGTCCAATTCGCTTTCGGGGGCTTTACATGAATCAAGAGATCTACCTTAAGAGCGGAAGAGACCATTTCGGACCATTCCTTCATTCAAGGCCCTCGGACTCTGCACGTCCGGACCCCTCGGAGACCGCGAGGCATCAGAGCAATCGGACCTCAGGCAACGCCACGGGTTGCAGGGATGGGAAGGTGTGCAGATTTTCAAGGCAGGGTTTCAACAGGTTTGTGGTCACCAAGAAACCAGAAGTTCTAGAGTCTAGAGGCAATTGGCACCAAAACCACCTGGGCATGGCTCCTTTCATCTCCTCTATACGATGGAGTTCTCTCCAGAAGATGTGTTCAGCTCCTTGAGGGTCTTCTTGTGTGGATCGACTTCGCACCGTTTGAGCTGACCCAGTCTTGGAGTGAAGCTCCCGGACTTCGGCATGGAGTTTGATCCCTGCAGTTTTGCCGTGGCCCACATTTGGCAATGGCGAGGCCTCTAATGGCCGCCGCTTTGACCCCCAAAACTCTTTCACTACTCCTGGCCTTTTCTCGGCAGTGATAAATGCCGGTTTGGAGAGTCTTTGGGAAGGGTTCTTCGTAGTGTGAGTGAGAGCTATATCAACTTCCAGGATCACCATGCCGAAGACACAGGCCGATGGTGGTGAAATGACCCAACTCCCATGAGAAACCTCATGAGCCGTCCTGGTGAGCTTCATGTAATAAAGGTCCACGCATGTCACATGCTTAGGGCATCTTAGACATCGGACTTCAGGAAGCCTGATTACCAGGGAACTGCCAGAAGCTCCTGACCAAGCCTTCTCAATTGCAAATTTAATCAAATTTACAGTAACCCAAAGAACTTGTGCTCATGTGTGCTCTTTTCCTAGATATTTGAGGTGTAGCCCTCGCAGATCATGCTTGTTTTCACTGACAATCTTGACCCAGAAGAGTGAGTCTTGGGGTTCAGAGCTTGATGGATGAGCAGACGGGACATCAGAACCAGCCATGGTTGAAAAACAGCTTGGAAGGCCAAGATGGTGGCCAACCATTTGACCTATAGAGTAGAACATGCAAGTAGCGCATTGCAGTATATTGCAGTTTGTTGTTTTTGCTTCGCTATGAATCGCTAGGGAATCTCCGCCTGTGCCTGTGCAGCAGCCCTGCCACGGTTCCAGCCGTGGCGTTCCAGGCTCCACCTCCACAGCCACGGGGCGGTCGCTCCACTTCGCGGTGCCGTTCCTCTCCGACGTGGGTCGCGAGCACAGGCAGAAGCGGACGTGAGCTGTCGGTGTGGAAGGAGGAGCTGTGTGGAGCGTGTTTCGAGGGAAGGACAGGTGGGGAGGGACAGGTGGGGAGGGTGTGGATGAGTGGATGGTGTGCTTTTGTGACAAATTGGTGGTGATCCCATGGAGAAGATGTCGCAGTTAGCTTCCAGGTTTGTGATGGTTTGTGGAAGAAATGTTGGCATGTTTGCGGTTCCCACTTTGCCGCTTTGCCATGATTCGGCCCCAAACCCCAAAAACAGGCCGATTCGAGTCGTGGGAAACCCCTCCCTCCGGATCGCGGAGGGGTTCACCCGGACGACCTCGATTTGAAGGAGACCTCGATTTGGAGGGGACAGCGTTGGTGTCCCTGTTGAAGTCCTTTGAGTGATATGGAGGGTCCGTAGGTCCCTTAGGTCTAAGACTCCCAGCGAAGACCCAGTTTGGATTCTATAGGGGGGTCTGGGCAGACTTGTCACGTCTGGGCACCGTTGGAGGGTCCCAGTTTTGTTCAGTCTAGTTGGAGCCGAGACTTGAAGCTCGACTGCACTTGTTGAAACTCAATGACTTCTGCCAGGTTCTATGCTGTCGATCGTCAGGGTCTCAGCTGTCGATGTTCTGAGGGGTTCAGATGCTGTCGGAAAGCAAAGGAGGATCCAAATGGCAAGTACGATCATCGCCTCAGACTCCCAAAGGCGCCCTTAGTTCTGTCTACCGGAGTCGAAGACGGAGTCGAGCACAACTTTTGAGACAGTCGCCATGGTCATGACTGACAATTCTATTTTATGGTTGCACCGTTTTGGTTCAGGCCTGTCGCAGCCTGCGCATTCCCATATGAAAATTGCCCAAAACTGGTTTTGCTCCCTTTCCATGGTGGTTTCAGGTGCACATCCCCATTGGCCAAACTGCTTGGTATATTTTGGCACAAGTTTGGGGATGCAGGTACCTGTACCAAACACTAGGCATGGGTATATCAATTTGCAGGATTTGTCAAAATTGGAACATGTGTTTTTGTCAATAAGGCAGATTGTCTGTCCACCTGACTGATACACTTTTTGAAGCTCCAGTCACTACAATGGTTGATTCAACTTAACATGAACAGACATAACAGACATATCCACTGCCGCAGTGGATAAAGGTCTTAAGCAACGTTTTGGGTGTTGGGATGATCTGACTGGAAATCACTGCATGAAATCGGGGTCCTGTGGATTCATATAGTTTGTTCCAGCACAAACCTCCAAGAGGCGTTCTTGTTTTTGTGGTGGCGTTCGTGTTTGAGCGGCCAATGACGGCGTGTTTAATCATCAACGGGCATAGCCGTAATAGTAAACACTGGCCACTGATTTTATAGATTTCGGCCGGCCACCATTCGGCGGGAATGGGATATACCCCAAACCCTACGTGTATAGGGCGGCCCTATTATAGGGCTCCAAGTACTTCCGAATCGAAGGTGTTTGGGGCGGCTGCGGCTTTCAGGTGTTTTGCACACCTTCGGAAACACCTTTGTTTGGAAGTACTTGGAGCCCCAGGGAAAGGAAATGGATCCAAATTGGATGATGAGTCCCATGAGTCGTTCTACGCTTACCTCGAAAAAGCCCAGGTCGGCTGCCGCGCCGGGACCAGGATCGGCTGAGTCGAGTTGTCGGCTGAGTCGTTGGCAGGTCGGGGTGCTGAACTGACCAATCCCATGACACACTGTGTATGGAATAGATGCCAGCATTGACCCCTTTTTCAACCGCCGCACAACCACCGCACATATGGCAGTCCCACGGAGTGTTTGGGAAATGGTTTAAGAAGATCGAAGTTGTTGCTCCACCACGTTTGCCGGCGTTTGGGGTGGCCACGTCACGTTGGTTTCAGGATCTTCGAGTCCCCGCAGACGGTCGATTGTGCGGAGGTCGATACCTCGGTGGTTTTTTTCGGGGGCGAAGTCAGACCATCATATGGGACTGGAGTCTTTCAGCACCTTCCATTCGGGGTCTCCAACAGAATACTGTGGATCTCCATTGGACTCCTTTGAAGGTCGTCCATTGACCCCTCAAATCAACCAGCGCTGGCCTGATCCGCATACTATAGTCCCATAAGTCGTGCTTGGAGAATCCTGAAGATCACTGTAGTACTATAGGACCTTGACTACTCGACCGAGATCTGGAATTATATATGTTCGAGCGACACCCCATGTTCTTCTGACCCCCCAAAAGGTTGATGATAGGCGCCATTTGTGACGGGCGAACGCGGCAGCAATTTTGAAGGAGACGAAGACAGGCTTCGGGAAGATGTAGGATGGCTAAATGAAACTCGGCGATTTGCTCTCCAAGCTGCTGAATGTCGCGCTTTTTCGCTCTGATGAGGCGACTCCAGACTCGCCCGTCGGGATGGACCGGTCAAACGGACGACTCCGGCTGCAGGAGCTGGCGAAGCAAGGGTCCGGAAGTCCCAGCCACCGCGACGTCGGCGCTTGGGTCATCCGGAAGTGGATTCCATCCCCGTCGACCCCGAGCCTGAAGCCTTGGCTCGGGTGGGGCCGTGAGAGATGGCCTTCCTTGGGTTTTTGTTCGTTTTACTGAGAAGGACGCATCGGGATGCATCGGGTGGGTGAACCACCGTAGCGTTACAGGGTCGGGCCGCGTAACTTGTGTCGTGTCACCAGTTTTCCTGGCTCACCTTTGGTCAGCTCGTATTGGAACATATTGGAAGCAGTTTTTGGAGTAAGTGGATGGCACCCCTACCATCCTACCCAACTCCTGTAGGTGCTTAAGGAACGTGTTGGACCTCACAGCTTAGCCGGTGGTTCGTCCCAAAAAGACCTACCCCGGGCTCCGCAAGAGGAGCGCAGGACGATCTCGCCCCCCGGACCAGGACGGACCTTGGAGACGTGGAAAGACCAACGTCCTCCACGCATCGGACCTTGGGAAAGACCAACGTACCCGTACTCTTGGACAGGAAGGGTGAACTCCACGCGATCAGAGGTCACGTAGGTATGCTCTCTCCGCCATGCTCCGCCTGAGTTGTAGGGCGTCCCGTTCTTTTTTCCCATGATTGGTGAATGGATATGAAGCGTTGGCCGGTGGTTGCCTGCGCTGGTGGTGACGGTTTCCCTCGGGTCCCAACATGTCCCCACCCCTGCTATACAGGGTCAAAACGCTCCATGGGAGAGTGCAAGGATGCTCAGGGACAGAGAGATGTTCACCAGTTGGGTAGCTTTGCCGGATTCATTGAAGAAGCAAATATGATAGTTTGTTCATGTTTGTTCAATCCTACAACCCGACCTTGGAAACGGCCATGTTTGTTCAATCCTTGTCTCCTGAAGTGATTGGTGATCCGATGTCATCCGACCAAGTCATGAACCAACGAGCAGTGGTTGCATATTTGCAGATAGATCGACCGTTGGACCATTCTGCACGGTTTCGTCCAACCAGTTCTGATCTTGAACAAGTCATCCTGCTTTGTGTGGTTGTTTTGTGGACAACGTGAAACACTTCTTTCGAAGGAACCCTTCTTTTGCTCCTTTGCTTTGCGGCTGCAGGAGGCCAGGAGGTCCTGAAAAAGCTGATAATCGCGGAAACCATATGGCTCCAGCTATTTGCTTAGTTAGGAACCTGCAACTGAAGCCACCCAAGATCACCCAAGTGCAATGCTGCGTGCTCTCCTCGCCTCTTGGACGATTTATGGCGATTATGGGCGGGTGGGAGTTTGGGGTGGAACCGGCAAGGCACGTTGCAACCTGCCAGTCACGGACTGCCCTCGGGCGCCACGCCGTCTTCCAACTTTCGACATCGGGATCACATGAGGAGATTTTGTGATCAAAGGAGTGCGGGGAAGGTCGGAAGGCAAGAAGTTGGTGCGCAGGAGAAGATCGGAGGAATTGGCACATGGAGACCAAACAGCGAAAAATTAATCCTGTTCGGAAAGTAGTCGACACCCCCCCTGTTCAAGAGCAACGGTTGTTCCAAAAGGATTATGATTGTCAATGATTGTAAGATGTGTTCAACATCAACAGAGCTCAGCTCCTGCAGCTTCGGTGATGTTTGACTTGAACCCAAGGCATGCTGCCTTGGAAGCACTGCCTGGGCACTATCCTGCTACGATGGCCAGGGAGGCTTTATGCAGGCAAACGGCAAACGGAGGGCACGGATTCGGAAACGGTGATGTTTGGGGTGGTGCCTCTAAGTGGTCAGAAGATGGAATGTTATCTCCTGCGTCTTGGCCAGTAATTTCATATATGCCGGTTTCATATTCAGTGGACTTGGTCTTCCGCCCAAACGTCGCTCCATATCCGCCATATCATATCCCTCCAGCTCCATTGATGTGAGGGATATTGTGTGGCAAATCGGCGCAAACCAGGCGCGCAAGAGACCTGAAGCAGGCTAGGAGCTGGTAGCCAGGTAAAGGATGGAGATTAATGGAGATATGCCTCCAAGTATTCCCTATGGGTATACTTCACAAGAGGCCGGTGAAACAAAATCAAGCGGTACTATAAATATCGTACCTTTGGTACGTACTGTATATGCATTGTACCCCTTATCCATTGCAACATAGAAGTGTTCTCACAAAGGTCAAATTTGGAGGAAAGATTCACTCTGTGGAGGAATTACCCTATGCCTATCTACTAACAAGAGCAAAGCAAAGGATACATGGCTCTTTAAAGATCAATCCACATTGTTACGCGATCTCGCAGGCAGGGAAAGTTGTTTCCTCTCCTATCATGTGGCAGTCTCCTATCATATTCAGGGCATGAAAACGATGAAGACCATGGCTGACCGAACCATTCCTTTCGACCCTCAGGCTGACTGGAGCTTCTGCGAAGCGCTGACGCCTACGATTCTGATGAATCTTGGCTGAGTCCAGTCGACGGTTATAAACATGGTCTTTAGGTGACCAGAAGAGGAGTTGCCTTTTATAGTGGTGCAGTGTGGAACGGCCAGCCAAGGGACCACCTGCAACTTGGAGACCGATGGGGCCAGAGCTATTTGGGACTATAGCTACATTGACCCCTGAAATCAACCATAATCAATCCCAATGTATAGCCCAAGGGATCCAAATACCTTCTCGGAAGGTGATTGGAGACACACTTATGTAGGTTTTGAGGGTCCAGTCGTACCGAACCTGAGGTTCGGTACGACTGGATCCCTAGAGTAGGAACATCTTGCAGTCCCATGAAACATCGAACTTGGAATATTGAGCTATACTGCACCCTGAAACTCTGAAACCACCCCTATTCCGCAGGTAGATCTGGCCATCCGTGGCGAAACTCATGGGTCCGGGTTTGGCATCTCACAAGTTTCAAGAAACGCGGATCACGGGCGATTTGGCTGTGCAGCAAAGTTCATGCGATTTGTCTTGGGCGCTTGCATGATTGCACCCATCCGGGGTACAGCACAGGATCCTGTTTCATGTTCATCTCGCGGATACGAAACGATTGGGAGATGGGGAGCATGCTTCTTCACATTCGCCGCAGAGGACGTCGCCTCCGTTTGGACAGAACGGAGGACGGGATCGGACGGGATCGGACGCAAAGAGATCGGAACTGCTAGTGTCCCTGTCTGAAATCATCGTCCGGTTAGGTGGTGGATGGCACAGAAAAAAAACGGATGACTCCTGAAATTCGAGGACCTGTGTTTCACAGGTGGCGCCATCCACGTAACCGTGATGATGATTTCAGGGAGTGTACTTTGTCCGACTTATGTTGTGTCATTGTGTGGCCGTTTTGCCATAAAGTGTTACTATACTTTCATGTTAGACGATGTTAGACTCATTGATAAATGACCCCCCAGAAATGGATTCAACCAGCTGTTCATATTATGAGTTCCTTTTTAATGGACCATGTCTTAAGTCAAAGACATGAATCCCCCTCCTGGCTTCGGCCTTCACACAGATGCGCGCACACACACACACTATCACACACTTATACTCGGCCGCATATGTGGAGACACGCTTGTGGCACGTCGGCGCGTGTCCCGCACCTCCTCGCATTGCTGAGGTATTATGGGCCTCAAGGCGACTTCGTGAGATTGGGCCTCTTCATCGAACAGCACAGTGCCGGGCTTGGAGCCTCCGAGTACGGTCGACGGTCGTACGGCACGGTCGACGAGTATGGTCGGCGGTCATCCCGAGGGGGCGGTGTTTGGACCTTGTCCCAACAAAAGAACGAGGGTCTAAAGACCATTGTGTAGCCCTGAGAGTCCAGTCATAACTCATAAACTACCCGGCAGTGGCAGTGGTGGATTCTGACTTCCATGTGGGGTAGTTCATGATCTTTCATGACTCAGAACGGAAGTTTCTGGCTAGACCCTTTGCCTTTATGTGTTCCAATCTGCTGGGCGCAACAGCCTGGAAGATATGGAAGGTCCAACCCAATGGAAAACCATCAGCAATGTGATGTTGAGGTCTTGCTTGGGTTTCGGCCTTTTCTGTTCTATTTGGGGGGATTCCTGAGGAGCAAATCTTGGCCTGACATATATAGTTGAACTCAACGTCTCATCATTATCGGTATGAACCTGTTCATTGACGCAACATTCACCCTGTGCGTCTTTGCAAGGTGACTAAGCTTAGCAGAGTAACCTTTTGCAACTATGGCAATCACAGCGGAATTATCTTCAAAGACTGCTAGCCTGATTGGCGGAATCAACATCTACCACCCCTGAAGAGTTGGCAGTGCTTCAGAAAACAATGATGATGAATGTGTATTGGAACAGGGATACCCCCCCTGGCAAGAGCAAAAGATAGAAGTTGAGAACCTTGCAAACCGTTTTGTATACTGACTTGCATTGATCATCCCATTTGCTGGCCAGTCACGCAAGCCCTCCCTCCTATACATTCAAGTGGAGATGGACAGGTAAAATCACAGGTAGCAAACATAACTTAACATAACAACCTCCCCAAGAATAATCCTCGAAGCATCCTCTCTTGCCAAGTCCGCGCCTCCTCACATGTGAGTTCTTCATCTTAGCATCAAACAGACAGTCCTGGAAGTTTCACCTAGGATTCTTAATAGTTGTTCAAAGGTGCATTAACATTGTCCTATGATTTTTTGTGTCTCGTCCTTCTTTCTCACATAATATGTGTTTGACTCGCGAGAAACCAACCCACGACTTGGGAGACCTTTCTTCCACTCTCAACTTCCCCGGCACACAGACATGAGAAAAAATGGAACAGTTCCTTCCCCCTTCCCTTCCTTCGCCCTCCACGTCCCACGTCCCAATCCCCAAACGCTGTTTGGGACTGGGCATCTTGACCGATCAGGGTGCGCTGGTTGATTGAACAGGCCTAAAAAAGATGGGACAAATCTTCCAGTCCCACTTGGTTTAACTTGGTTTAAAACGGGATCGCTCGTCCCCTGTCGCGGCATGCTCCTTCGTGCTCCTTCCGCCGTGACCGAAGAAACAGAGGCGGCTGGAGTGCATTGGCCTTCGGTGGCAACGGTGGCATGAAGGGTGCTCAGCAGTCCGGACATCCAGTCCGGTCCAGGTAGGAACGAGCTGGTCGGACCGAGGCATGGAACGCGAGACCACGCGGGTCGCGTTCGGTCACTACGCGATCGAAGGTCAAACTCACATGGAATTGGGGTGGAATGGCACCCTCAATCCGACTCTTTTCCTCTACAAACCAGTGTTTTTTTTCAAGGTCTATGTTATTTTTCAGTGTGGCCCTCAGTGGTATATCTTGGTTAAGTCTGAGTTGAATGATAGCAACATGATTGTCGATCCCGATGACCTTATAAATGTTCTTTGATTTGGTGAACAGCGACAATTATGAAGATTTGCTGGTTGCAATCCATGTTTCATCGCCATAACTACTGCAACAAACCAATTGTTCGAGGGTCAGAGTTGTGCCTTGGCATTCTGCAGGGGTAATGACTGAACAAATTCTTTTGGACAGCTTGTTGAATGTGTTGAAGTTCAATTTGCCTCTGAGCTGGCACATATGGCAAAAGATCAAACAACGCCTGGAACTTCACAAGATTCTGTGGCGGACCTTGCCCCTCCAAGGCATGTCCAACCATGCAGGAGTCTCTTAAGGAATAAGACAGTGAGTGGATGTTCGATCGGCACCCCGACTTCCTCCCATGGGTAGCAACCCAACTCTATATATGGAACTGCTGGAGCTTCAACCTCCACACCACCCGATCCACCCGAAGCCTTGACCTCAAACTCCCCACCTACCGGCTACACGACCTCGGCCTGTGTTTCCAGTGACAAACCCCGCGCTTCGACCGGTCGGTCTGTCGTGGCGCGACCGGGAGATCCCCCCAAGGTTCGTGGTGCGCAAGGTGGACGGCGCCTTCGTGGCGGAAGAGCGACGCTCGGCAGCGACCGAGTTTCGGGGCGAAGGACGGGCGGAGACGACGATGAGGGGGAAAACAAGGTCAAAGCCGCAAAGGAGCGACCCTGAGCGATACCTTCTCAAGGTAGACCAAACACTGGAAGTCGTTGTCACTTTTGGGACAACAGAGTCATCAGTTTTCTTTTGCTTGTAACCGCGAAGAGGCTTTCTGCTTGGAAACAGGACGTTTAGAGAAGGACACCCAAAAACAAGATGGAACCCACGAACCCGAATGCACACACGCCCTCGAAAACAAACGACCAAACATTAGTTTGACAATGTTTGACAACCTTGTAGGAGACACTCTTGTAACAACACTCTTCTGGGACACTCTCGTGCGCCACTCTTGAGGAACACGAGCGTACGACACTCATGGGACACTCTTGTGAGACAGTCTCGTCAAACACTCCTCCAACTCACGAGTCACCAAAACGAGCGTTTCGTTCGAGAACTCGTCCAAAAGTCACACGTCAAATCTTCAAAACAAGGCTTCGCTCGAGACTTCCTCCGAAACTCATGCGTCAAGCCTGCAAAACAAGCGCTTCGTACGAGAATTCCTCCAAAAGTCACACTTCAAGTCGATCCAAGGCGAGCGTTTCATAAGAGACTTCCTCCAAAAGTCACACGTCAAGTCTCGAAAACGAGCGTTTCGTACGAGAACTCCTCCAAAAGTCGCTGTGAGCGAAAACAAGGTGGCAAAGAACAGCGGAGGTAACTGGGCTTGACAATGGCTTAACGGTTGACTGGTCGAGCTGCATGATTCCACTACCCAAAACGCTCCCAAGTGATGTGGCAAATTCACGACTCCAGTGGCTGCAAACCGTTAAACATTTGTAAGCTTGTGTGGGCTTCGCACTTGCGTAGTGTCATTATGTGTCATTAAGACATAATATAATCTCTGGATTGAGTGCAAGGGACAAACAGTGTTTAAGCTTCGCGCCTTCCTCAAGTGTAGGAGGCGACTCCATGTTGGACTGGTGAGAACATTGCGCCGCTTGATTTGATATATTTGATCTAGGAACTGGCTGCTTGGTAGCCAGGAGCTCGGTATGTTTTTGCAGTTTTGGTTTCCTGTTTCTTGCAGTTGCGCCTGAGGTCCCAGCATCTGCTTCTGTAAACTCGTCTTCGACAAATCAATGTCACGCTGGATTTGTTTGCTAAAAAAAGCACACAACCGTTCAGCTTTGGCTTGAAGCATAGCACGGTGCGACTCCACACTCAAACGTGCAAAATGGATCCAACACGACGAGAACATCGGCCACCATCCCATCATTGGCCAATTTCGTTGGGGTGGGTTCGTTGGTGCGCCCACGGCTGAAGAAAACTTCCCACCTCCGCCAGGCCCTTGGTCGATGTCCGGACTGGCCTCTATCTCCCGCTCCCCCAGCGGGTGGAAAAGTTCCTGTTGCTGATGGTGGTTCGGGCAGCTTTGGATGTTGACGAGTTATTGCCAGGAACCAACAAAGCAGCGGAAGACAGGTTCATCAAAAGCAAGGTCGTGAAGACCAGTGGCAAGGAGAAACCCCATGTTTTCCTGAGCACCGCGTTCAATCCTAACCGGCGTTTGCACTTAAGACAGGGATTGAGGCAAAGGATGCAGCAGGAGCTGCTCACGCAAAAGCCCTGCCGACCGCGGCTCCGCGATGAAAGCCACAAGTGGCGCTCCAAGCGAGACATTTGTGGTGACATTGGAGGTCTGCAAGGGCTAGGCCACTTTGGGGTTGCGAACTTTTTGCGGCTTTGGTCCTCAACATTGATGGGTTACCCTTCGTCCCTGCTCCGGCTTTGGACAGCCACCGGCCCAGGGAGCTGTTTGGGCGTCAACCTTCTTTGTGGCTTCCCAAGTGCTTTCTTGATTGCATTTCAGGATTTTTGTTGCTTGCCGCTATTCTTCCTCTACATGTCAGTTTGCTAAAGGAACAATTAGAATGTGTGCCAAGGGATGTTGCCAACATCTACTTGGTGGGTGGCTTTGGTTTATGGAACTTATACACTAGTTATGGTATTTAGAAACTTATAGAGACTTAAGTTACAGAAGTTGCAAAACCAGTGGTCTTTAATTTAGTTCATAACTAGGCTAAGTGTAACTGATTAAACTTTTAGATTTTATAAGTTCTCCAGACTTTTCTAGACTCTACAATTGCAATATTTTTGCGATGAGTAGTAAACAAAGCAACATTTTTATTTCCTGTGTGAAAAACATCTTGTCTCAAACAAGGGTTTGTGTTTCTCATGACATTTCTCTTCACCTAAGAAAGCGATTTCAAGACGAGAAAGGTAATATTTAGGGAGCTCCTTGAGCCACCTAAAACATATTCCTTTTACTGTCAGTCTAAAACATTCCTTCTACTGTTTTAGAAACAATGTGTAGGCCTGTGTCTCCTGCACCTGTGTGTCCGGAATCTCTATTGTGGGAGCTGCCATGGCTGAATCCACTTCGCCCTATGTTCTCTGCACGCTGTCAGACTCGAGAACCTTCTTGCAAGCAAGCGCAGGCCAAGCTGTGTCCTATATGGCCTTTTGCAGGCCAACCTGTCTTGCAGGTCTTGACAGCCCACCATTTCACAAAGAAGTGCCATCTTTGGCTTCCTCACCATTCAGTATGATAAAGCTCAATTTTCCAAAGATGGCTCTTGCACCCAGCTTGTTCAGCTATGGGTTAGGCCAGATGCCATTGGCAGCCTGTCCTCCTGCTGCTCCACCCCTGTCGATGCTCTGACTCTCCAGTTCCACTGTCTTGTGGGACAGAAGCAGCCCCCTGGCCTGTCAGGGAAAGTTGGTGGTTCTGACTCGGTTTCCCTAATCTTCCACTGGTCTGGAGGTGGAGCTGGAAGATGAAGAGGATGAAGAAGGAGGGGCAGGCTCGCATGTGGCCATGCTCTCTCGAACCTCTGAGTATGCGCGGGGCGTGGACTGGACCCTAGGACTGGTTGCCTGAAGTGTACTGACCTGCTGGCCGACGAGTGCTGACTTGTACAAAGTTTCGCGATCCATCAGCGACATCGGTAGAATCAGTAAATCGGTACTGAAATATACGGCTGGGGGACTATGAGACGCGTTTGAAAAAACGACCATATCTGGGTGGTGATGGGATCAGCGATGATCCTCGCAAGCAGAAGGCGGATGAAAACATGACAATCCTGCAAGAAGCTGGGATTGATGAACTGTATGTGAGCCTGGGTCAGAAGAAGTCCTTCACGATGGCTCCGCCGGAAGCACCCCACATACCTGGGGCTACCACTGTGCAAGTGCTCCTTGTCGCTAGCAGCTTCTATGTCAACAAGGTGTTAGTGACAGTTGACCAGTGGCCTGAAGAAGCTCTATAATTTGTTCTCAACCATTGCCCTTTTACGGCTTTACCGCGCACTGCTTGTTCTAAAAGGCTTACATATGTAAGGCAAGAATCAAGGCCAAAAAAAGAGGCCCTCTAGATGCTAGACACTGACTTGTTTATGTAATGTTGGATGATGCTGGTATCGGTGTACTACCTTCGCATGACATGTGATTTAGAAGCCATACATGGAAACTGCTCCAGCAACGCGCCCCAGCAGAGTTTATCTAACGGAGAAGACTTTGATTGCTGGGTTTTCTCTCTGACAGGACCGTGTGTTTCCCATGAACAGATTGCCACCAAGTGTGTTTTTGTCTGAATGCATGCGTGGCACTGAAGCGGGTGCCAGCCACTCAGCCCGGGTGCTCACTGCATCTAGCTTCACCCGTTTCCTTCCAAGTATCTCTATCGTATTGAGCTGCACCAGTGACCTGTTGAGCACTATCAGCAAAAAAAATCCATGTGAAGCAATCATGCATGGCCAAGCAAGAACACTAATTCCTGCCCAAGCCGGTGTGTTTGAAGTAGGCCTTGACTGGCATAAAGTGTTAGACACTATGCTGTCGCCTGTTCGCACTCCGACAAACACCTTGACGGATCGCCTCAAGCAGCTCGAGTCACTACCGGCACGCATCACCATCATTTCCTTTACCGGAGCGGGCGACCGCTACGAGTCAACGGTTCGGGAAATTGATGCATTCCGTGATCAGCGCCGTGCCTCCGGATGCCAACTCGGCGGAGGCTTCTATTTGACTAACGAGAAAACCGGGCGCGGCGGGAAGGCAGAACTATTAAGCCGTCTTCGAATCAGGGCTTTCATGGATGACCGTGCGGACATCTGCGCTGAAATTCGGAGGACAGGTTGTTTTGCCATGGGCTTTGACGCTCGCGACTATCCCCAGGAGACGTGGGGCGATACAGGTGTTAACCGACTACATATGGTCGCGCCTAGACAACTGGGACGCTCACTATCCGCTGCAGGCCTTTGTGCTTCAACAGTACTCTGGCCAAGGTGGTCGTGGCGGAAGCGGACGCCGACGCCGGTGATGCGTCATGCCAGCCGCTGCTTTATGCGCGGCGCATTCAAAACATGGAAATGGAGGGTCCATGGGGAGAGACCCCTCGAATCCACTCGGCGCAGCGCCGAGTGGACTTGAGATAGGGAGAGCTCGGCGACTCCTACTTAAGTGGGCGTCGGGAGAAGGCTGTCAGGCTCCTATAGACCCCCGAAGTTCAGTCGGCGGTGCCGACTGAACTTGGGGGGTCTCCTGACACAGACACCTCGTTTTTGGAAAAAAGGTGTGAGAATGTAGGGGGTGGAAGAGTGAGAACGCATGAGACAATGACAAGCGTCTCATAGTCCTGGATGTTAGTTGTCCGCTCGTTGTTCCAAGTCTTGTTCCCTTGCGATTGGCCTAGTGGCTGTGTTTTTGGGTCTTGTTTTTGCTGTTGCTGTTGTTGTGTGTGTGTCTGTTGGTGTTGGTGGTCCGTGGTGGCTGAGGTTGTCGTTGTGGCTGTCGCTGTAGTCTTTGTAGTCATTTCGGGCGCCGTTTCTGTTATGGCTGTTGCATGCTGTTACTTGCGTAAGCATTGTTGTTGCTTGTGTCGCTGTCTTTGTTACTGCTGTTCTCCTTCTGCTTCGCTTGCTTTGGTCTTGTATGTTTTCTTGCGGCTGGCGGTAGCAGGCACTTTTGCTCTGTGTGGCTGGTGCCGGCCTACAAGCGCCAGGAAAGAAATGGTGTGGCAATTTGTGGGGTTATGGCCTACACATGGGTTTTTGTGCTTTGGCATTGTTTCTGGTGATCGTTTAGAGCTCTGTCTTATTTAACAAGAACACGCACCGCGAACCAGCGCAGATCTAGGTGTTGACCAGTAGCTAAATTTGGAAAATTCCAAAATTTGTGTTTGGGGATCCATTGCGCCTTTGGGTTGTTGGTGGCATGCTGGGACGCTCTAGACCACAGTTTGAGCCGAGCGATGAATATAGTGATTCCGTTCATGCTGCTGATCGAACGCGAGGTCTCCCAAATATACATGTCAGTCACACCCACGGCCTCAGAATGGACAGTGGGTGGATTTTCCTCTCATTCGACTACAGCGACCAAGGCTACTCCACCGACTACGTCACCCCGGCATTGCAGCCCACGCAGGCCGCCCTTGCGCGTGGCGAAACACTTTATAGAACTCATCTGACCATGTGTTTTCCATCCAAGAACATCCCAAAACCATATTTTCGGCGGTGCTGGATGATTGTAACTTTTTGTTCCTGATCTTCTGGAGGTCTAAGGTCTCCTGCCCCGAGGTACAAATATAGTTTCCTTGGACATGATTCAAGGTGTCGAACGCACATTGAAACAAACAATCTAACATCAAATTTTCCTGGAACCCTAGTCCCAGCAATTCTGGATGCCCGAATCGCACCGATCTTGCAACAACCAGGTTCAAGGGGTTGGTACAGGGGTTCCATCTAAATGTTGCCTTTTGTTTGAACAATCACTCAAATTTCATTTTGCCAGTGTTTCCTACCAGAAGAATTGTTCGTATATAGGTCAATTATCAGTATTTCGCATCTACGGGTTCTGGGTATCGCCCTTAGAACTGGTCGGCCAGGAAGTGGCCTTGATTTTTGCCAACGAGGACCTCTTACCATTGGGCAGAAGTTGAATTACACTGATGTTTTGCGGAGATTGAGGCAGACAATCCTGGATCTGGGGATGGCATTCAAAGGTTTCCTTTACAGTTTAGACATACTCTCCCTGCACCTTCAAGTCTTTTTTTACCCATAATGTTGTGCATCCAAAGTAGCAATGTATCAAACATGTGACAATGACAGATTGAGGAATTCAGCTGTTTTGCTACAATCTTTCATATTGTCTTGCACATGTGTCATTGCAGGCTTGGAAAAAGCTCAGGGGAAGAAACACTTTTGTGAAACACCTGGATACACTACAGTCAGTCTACAGTTTCCTTTCAAATCAATTCCCACCGGGATCAAAGGTTTGCTTGGCCAGTTGTGCTACAGGCGCCAGGCTTGAAATTCCGAGTGGAGAAGGTTTTGCTCGTCTTCCGTCGTATAGAGCCAGCAGCATTGTCCAGTGTAAAACTTCTGGAGGGTGGTTAGTAGGGCGGGGATTGCGATGGTGGACCAGCTTCTCCTGCAAACAGAAATGATCGTTGTCCCGAATACTCAACAAGAATCTCATCTCATGCGACCAGGTTGGCACTCTAAATCTTAGGCTTTGACGACCAGAGGGGCATGACGACTGTGCTCGCTTGAAACGGGTGAACCCGTTGCAACGGTCGTGAGTACTGTGGCCTGATGAAATATCCAACCAACCCATTTGGATTTTAGAACCACAGACCTCTTCCACCACACAAATCCACAGACGAGTCAATCCACAGACCGACAAGGACGAGGAAGCTTTGAACAGGTCTGGCTTCCAAGGCAAACTGGGGAGTGGTCTTTTGCCTTTCTTTTTCGCTGGCTTACGCGTGGTGGCCTCGCGCGTGTGAGCCTCCAGGAGTCCGGCAACACGGCTTGGGGGATTTTGATCCCCAAGAGCACATGCAATGCAGGGGAGAGGCGTGGAGGTGGGTTGGACATGGTCAACATGGAACGTCAGTGTTTTGGACATGGGTAGAATACCAAGAAACCAGAACCTATAAGAACATATATATATATAATATAGTAAAAATACCTGCAAGATCTTGCAATCATGCTCAGGATGTTTAGAAGAAATCAATGTTGTTGGGTGTGTTTGCGCCCACCACCTCCAGCACTTTCAAGACCGGCTGGTGCAGGTCCATCGTGAACACATGAAAAAGACACATATGTCAAATCCCATCACTCCCCCTCAAGGATTTATATATTTAATGTTAATCCAGGTGGCACTTTCCAAATGTATCCAACATTTCTAGGCTTCCCGTTTGCCAGTTCATGATGTTCATGAACATCATGTAAACAACTGGTTTGATGTGGCGGTCGCAGCCCCTTTTGTCACTCAGAATGGACGGGAAAAAGAAGGGCTGCGAGTGCTGGGAGCAGCCAGTGGCAGGTATCCAGTGGAGGATTTCAGTCGATTCATGCATTGGGCTGCTTGGCTCCGAAAATACATTGGACACAGGTCATGCAATGGAAAACATATTTATATAAATTCTATATATAGTGTTCTGAGATAGAACAACACCACACACAAAAGGGATATTGTTTTAGAGCACTGACTGCCAAGGGTTGATGAGTAGGGAGTTTCAGTCCAGGGACACTGGCAATTGCTGATGTAAGACGAGCACATTGTCCTATTCGACTGTCGGTATGTAAGTCTTTCGAAAGGCCCATCCAAGGTAAACCACCAGATGTTCATGTTACAAGTCTTGAGACCGGATTCAAATTTCAGAGTTGATTGAGATCAGTATGCGTGGCGTTTAGGTCCCTGTTTGAGATGGAAAACATCAGAGTCTTGAGAAGTCTTTGAGATGTCTTTGATAAGATCACGCAACCAGAGTGTGTGCATTCAGTGTGTGTGTGTGTCCCATTACCAGAGTCGGTCAAAAGATTGTCAATCGTTTAACAAGACCTTTACCTAACAATCATCAGATCATATCAGATCTATATGCTCCAATGCATCCCAATTCTATTCCCAATCCCTGCCCCTGAGTTTTGACACGTTCCTCACCCTTTCCAGAGGCGGGTGGTCAGACTCGACCCATCCTGACTCAGAATTGGCCGGTTGGGTGGTTTGGGTGATGGGGTGGTTGGACATATCCAGTCCCAGGGTCCCAGACAGTTGGTGTAAGCAACTTGCCAACGTAAAGACTCTTTCCCACCAAGCAGCTTCGCAGCTAACGAGCAGGGACGCGCGAAGGCTATGGTCACCAATTTGACCGATTTGATGGCAGGTGTTCCATGTGTTCCACTAGATTTCCGGATTCCAGCTGAGGCTCTAGGCTCCAGCCACGAGTTCTTGTACCACACCTCACGAGGCGGACTCCGACCGCTGCAGCCGCGGAACCGCGTTCGACCGGGAAATCGGGTTTATCGGTCGCCCAACGACCGAGTTTTTGGGCACCTCGAATCACCTCATACCCAGAGGCGACCCTGGACCCGAACCAACTATGAGGGTCCAATGAGCCTTTGGGTAAGAGGCGATTTACACCTCTTGGTGTCGGTCCTGGTATAGCTTTCTGTTCGACTGGAGGTGGCTAAACTGCCTTTTGTCGGCCGTTGTTCACACGCGTGGTGTTCACAAAAAGAAGCTGGACTCGAAAAAAAGACAACAAGACTCGTCCCCGTCCACAAAGGACGTTGACCATTTGTAACTAGCTGAGCTGTCTCGGAATTTCGGGCACCGCCCGCGCTTGGGTGACAACCCTTAAATAGATGGTTCCTTCCCCAAACCAACCCCCTAAACCAGCTCCCGCTTGGCGCGTAAAAAAAACGCATGGTCCAAACCACGAAGGTTTTTTTTTACCGAGTCGTCATGTCGCTTCGAATTCTCCGCGGCGGAAAAGCGGGAGGCCAGTTCCATGCCAACCTCCTCACCGGACCCATGACACTGGAGGAGAGCGCGCCGCTCGCGCGCGCGAGCGCACGGAGGGAGACGGAGACGGAGGGAGACGGGAGATGGCGAGTTGGCAGATCGGACCGAAGATCTGAATGGGGGATTGATATGGATTGATGGGGTGTCAGTGAGCGCACTCCCTTTGTTCAAAGGCGTCAGATGGCTTCAATGAGGCTATAGTTGGAAGACCGGGATTTTCTGTTGACGCTTGGGGGGAAGAACAAGCTGGACGTGTTGGTGTGTATGTCGACCTTTGTTATGTTTGTTGTTTCTTATTATAGTTGATATTAGGCTTACAGGCTTTTCGAGCGGTACAAGACTTCGTCGGACATGTGGAGCTCATTGAACGCGCGGAATTAGAGGCTCTGGTTTCTGGCTTTGTGGTGTAGGCGCCGATACAATCGTCCAAAACAGCGATGAACCCGCACCATACAGCTTCAGAAAGGCAAACCCAAAGGCACAAGCATTTTGGACAGCCAGTGGTGCAAACATTTGGCGTGAGTTTTTGGATGAACACTACGCACCTTCTGGCTGCCATGTAACTGATTTGTTTTTTGTTTGGTACCTTGTGAGGGATCCTCCATGCGTTGGAGCATTCGACATCGGAGGACTTCAGCAATGCCAAGAACGTGTCCTTCGAAATGCCCAACGTGCCAGTGGTGATGGGCGCAGGCGAAATCGGGGCAAAATCGAGGCGATGGTTGGCGTGCGAAGGGAATTCACCCCCCCCGAAGGGCCCAAGGGCCTTCCAAAAGAATATTGACCCGAAACATGCCCAAACATTTTTTTGGGGTGTTGCACTTTCGTCCGTTTGGCTATCACACCAAGGTTCCACACCACCTTCTTGTTTGCTTTGTCAGGTAGTCGTTGCTGTGAACAGGTCTTGGTTGAACGGATTTCGCGGGCGGTTACCAGATCTGCTCCCCAGCCGGGCACCTCGGAGGTGTCCCCTGATCGGTCGCGAGGGCGTGTTTTGGTGACGTATTGGGGAACCCCGGACAGATCCAGAGGATTCCAGAGGTCTAGAGGACTTGAGGTTCAAGATGCGATCCAAAACGATCCTACGAAGCCCCGAAGGATCCAAACGTCGCAGCCAGAGAGATCCAGACCGGTCTGGAGGTCTAGATCTGGAGATCCCCTATAGAGCTCCTGTGATTCGGTCTTCACATCCAAAGATGTGAAGCCTCTAAGTTGATGGAGATCTAGAGTTTGAGGTCTAAGAGATCTAGAGGTCCAGAGATGTAGAGAGAGAGAGAGATCTGGGTGTCTAGGTCTCTAGCTCTAGGCCGGGAGGCTCTAGGTCTCTAAAGATCCAGAGTCGAGATCCCAAAACAGTGTCCGGAGGTCTAAGGTCTTGATAATCTAGAGGTGTAGATTCGGTGTAGATGATCTAGATGTTCTGGCACTCCAGAGAGAAGAGATGGTGCTGATGGTTGTGGTGATAAAGGCTATCCGAACATATCCAAAGGAATCTAGATCTAAAGGTCTTGAGATCCAAGAACACTACATCTAGAGGCCTGGAAAACTAAGGTCTAGAGATCAAAAGATCTAGCTGCACACTATACAATACAATAAGGCATTACTACCTCAAAATCACGAAAGGTAGCCCTTTAGGGGATACCTTGAGTTTGTCTTGCGAAGCAAGTGTTGGGACGTCCGGGTCTAATAATTGATCGCTCAATTCAGACCCCCCCCCC